GGGGGGGGGGGGGGAGAAACCAAGCCTTATGCCTGTTGCTTGGCATCAGAGAACTGCCCAGGATTTCTCGATCAGGATTCCACAGCTGGAATTTCCAGCCACGCAAAACAGGGGGTGGGTGGTAGCAACCCCAAGCCTCGTGGTTGGGGGGGGGGAGAAGGGAGGGGGGGGTTGCTCAAGAGCCTCTCCTCTTACCGGCAAGCCATCTGCAATCCTGTTCCCAGCATAGACGGTGCCAAATCCCCCACTGCCCAAGACGGAGCCCACTTGATAGATTTTTTCGAAGGGCTCCTTTTCCACTTTCACTAGAGAGGGAAAGAAAAGGGAAAGCGAGGGGTGAACAACGAGGGAAAGTCGAAATCCAGGAGATCAATAGTAGCCAGACAGAAAGCAACCTCAACCTAAGCGGGGGAGGAAAGGGGCGTCTTACCCCCCTCCCCTCCCCTCCCGCGTTTCTTTTTAAAGTCACCAGCAACATTCAACCAAAATCCAAGCGCGGCCAAGCCCAGATTTGGGAATTCATGGATGGGGGCTGTAAAAATCGGGGTGACCGCCAGAATACGACTAACTCTCTGCCTCCCTCTCGTGGCCGTCCGGGGTTTTGCGAGTCAGATCTGCCAGCACCTGGCAAAACCAAGTCTTTCCAAATCTTTTTTTCTTCATCCCTCGGGACAAAATATTTGCCTGCTAGGCTCCTCTCCCGTCGCCCTAACTCCCGGCTAGGATGACAGGGGAACAAAACAAGCCAGATCTCTTCTAACCCCCCCCCCCTTTTGGGGCTTTTTAACAACTGTCGAGATTTTGGAAAGAAAATGAATGAACGACCCGAGTCGATCGCTCGGATCCGCTTGCTCCTCGTCCGCGGCTGACGCGGGAAGGGAGAGGAAACCCTCGTCACGCACATCACACAGGCAATAACACCACGCAACGCACACGGCCGTCCCCCGCCAAGAGAGGCGGGAGGGGGAACGGCAACTCTGCAATTGTTTACCTGGCTGGAGGATCTTCACCGGCAAGTGATCCATGCTGGTTGGGTTGCAAAGATGAGCCAGGGACCCAAATTTGGAGAGTAACATTTTCCCAAGCGAGACCACGGGGAGGAAAGGGGGAGGAAAAAACAAAACAAAACACAACCACAATCACGACGCAAAGGCTTCTTCAGTCAACCAAGGGGAAGGCGGGGGGGGGGCTTGCTGATGAGCGCAACTGAACGGGGCTGACAACGCAGCTCCTTCCCCGGACCGGGAAGGAGGAAAAGCCTCGCTCGCAAGCCGCCGCTGCTGCTGCTCGGCGTCCCCGTCTCTCCCTTCCTCCGTCAACACTTCGAATCAAAATGAAACTTGCAAGTCCGCGGAGTCTAGCAGAGAATCCCAGGAAAATGGATATATGTCCGTTAAGGGGAGGGGAGGAGAGGGGGGGAAATCCACACGCCAATCTTTATTAGAAAAATAGATGTGCCAGCCAAGCGACGGACGGGCTTCGCGTCTTTTTCAGCAGGCAGCCAAGCCTCGGGGGGTCTTCGCTCGTGTCGCGCAAAGAAAACCCACGCGAGCAATACGAGGAATCGATACAATCCAATCCGGGATGTAGCGCCGCAGTGAGGCGGTCGTTGTGGAGCGGCGGCGGCGGCGGCGGCGGCGGCAGCAGGAACAGCAGCTCAGCCTCCGACTGGCACCTCTCTCTTTCTGATCTTCGTTGCACGCAGCAGCGGCCTCTTAACTCTCAATATTTTGGTGGGGGAAGGCAAAAAAAAAGAAAAGAAACAGACACGGTTCTCCAAGTCCGTATCCCTCCGCCGGAGGGAATCGGCGGGGACGCGTCTTTCCTTCTCCCTCCCTCCCTGCTCCCCTCCCACCGCTTCGAATAGGTCCGGAAAGACTCCGCCCTCTCTCTTTAAGCTCAAAGAGGGGGACTGCGGAACCTCGCCCCGTTGTAAATACGGAGGGTGGGGGCGAGGAACTATTTGCTTATAGTAAAGAGACGCGGCGAGTTACTGTCTGAAAAATTCTCATCACAAAATGATACGGAGGAGGAGGGGGAGCGCACCCAAGGAGCGGAAAAAAAAAACCACACACACGCACACACACACAGAAGGGAATGTTCTCTCATTTACATGCGTCGGAGCCAATGAGAGGGGCGGCTCTTTCAAATGAAGGCCTGGCTTCAGCCAATCAAGGGAAAGCGGATTTGGGTATGCATCAGTGAAACTGGGGTGGAGGGGCGCTTACGAGCGCAGGGCGGGAATTCCTGGGCGCGCCTGGCTTCGCGCGTCGCTAACCTGGCGGCGGTGGGGAAGGTCATTCTCGGCAGGGCTGAGCGCTGCGTCGGAAGCGGGAATTCGGGGGAGACGCGGGGCGGGGGCGCAAGGCAGCCGCCATGATCGGCAGGCAGGAGAGGGCTTTCCCCTTCTTGTGGAGGCGGTAAAGCCCCGCTGCCAAACATTAATAAAAACAGTAATAATAACCCCCCCCCCCTCTGCCCAATACAAAAAGCTGCGCCATTTATCGGCAGCCTCCCTCAGCTCGCAAATCTGCAGTAATTTGGCGCCCAAGACCCGCCCGACTTTTGCCTCAGAAATGCAGTTTTGGACGCAGCGTTAACCAGAACGAGGCATCCGAGAAGAAACACGCGCCTGGTCACGCTTCCAAAAGCGAGTCCTCACGAAGGGTTAATAAAAAGCTTCCCGCGATTTAAAAATAAAAAAAAAACAAAAAGGCAAGGAACACCCATCTACTCGTTCTCTCGTAATCCAGAAGCGCTGTTAACGATTTATAGTTGGAGGAGCGAAAAATTCCGCACCGTCGTAGGATGGGCTTTTCCTAAGCAGCAGCCCACCCGTCTTTTGAGGTTGCCACGGACACGCACACGCGTATTCCCTCCAATTTGAAAGCGTTTATGAGGAGTTCCGTCCTCGTCGCCGCCACTCTCCTAAGGCACGGCGGCTGCCCAGGTTGCAACAACACGGGGGGGAAATATATATATATAAAAAAACCCAAAGCACGCCCCTAAGATGTTGCCCAAAGAAAAGCAACAGCACTCCGCTGCCCACGGTATGCAGTCTAGTCTCTTTAATACCCGAAGCCGAACTTTTATTTTTAAAAATGATGCTTTATTTCGAAGAGCACGTTGAATGTTGCAAATCGTTTCTGTAGTTCCTTTAGACGAGAAACCTCAGACCTCCCCCCCCCCATTCCCACGAACAGCCTTACCCCAAACAAACCCTTATTATTTTGTCTGGCACCGCTGGCCCTGGAAATCCACCCAGCGCCACCCACCCACAAAGGCTCTCGGAGACATGCACGCGCGCCGCAGTGTCTCACGTTTTGAATTCTTGCTTGTACGGTACTTAAAAGGCGCCTCGTTGACATCGGGGCTGAGCCGGTGCACCGCCCCTTCTTTTCTACCGGGGGCGCCAAATCAACGAGGAATCGTCCATTCCGAACAGGGAACCCGCTCAGCTGCAGAACGTGCAGATCTGCTGAGCCTTGCACGTTTGTAAGGAGCACCGCATTGGAAGATCAATGTTGGGGTGGGGGGGGGATGGGGTGAGGATCGATAGGCAGATGAGAGAGAGATAGATGGTAAGTATATAGTAGATAGGTGAAACGATACATACATAATAGCCGAGAAAATGGATAGATGGATGGATACAGACAAAATGATAGGAAGAGATAGATGAAAGGTAGATGGTAAATAGGTGATAAGTGGATGGGTGGATGGAAGGAAAGAGAGATAAGATGCATAACAGAGATAAGATGCATAATAGAGCATGGTTAAAAAAAATCAAGGTCACAACCATGGTGGAATCAAAGCTCCATTTGTTTTTTTTCTGTGTCTTGCACATAAAACACACACAAATGGGCTAAGCTTTGATAGCACTGTTGGGACTGCCATCTACAGGACCACAACCTGCAGACACCTTTGGGTAAACAGACAAAAGATAGGTTGTATATTATAAAAAGATATATGAATAGATAATACATACATACGCACTGAAAAAAAGGGTGATAGATTATTGATAAAGAGGTGATAGGTGACAGGCCTCTTCATACCACTTACAGTTTAAAACGCATCTATCACTATCTTTTTTTGTATGTTAAAAAGAAAAAAAATTCATAGCATTCCTCGTAAGGGAGTTACACTCACTCTGTACCTTTTGGTTGCTCATTTGAAAACACTGAAATGTCTGATTACAATGACCAACCAACATGTCCATGCTAATTGTAAGTGGTTATCATACATGTTTAAGCATATGGTAATTGTTTCATAGTTTACAACTTGTATTCCTTTTTTGCAGGACATACAGTTGTAGTCAATTGTGCCTTTAATGGGAATGTTAATTTCTGGGAAAGTAATGGGAAACTGAAGATAACCGCAGTGGAATAAAGAACTGGAAAATAAACTGATTCTTCATAATTCCTCTCCAAACAAGAAGAGGACTTGAGATTGTCAAGATGCTCCAGACAGTTGCTCCTTGCGGGAGACCACAAGACAGTTTACAACTCTTGGAGATGAGACAATAGCCATCTTTTAGCTAAAATCATGTTTGGCATATTCAAAAGGGCATTAGATTTGCGTACTTTCTTTTCTAATCACTTTGGGAAATTGTTAATTGCTTTTCAGTTATTAGGGACTTTTGGATTGACAGGTTTTACAGCATCCTTCAATCCTTAGCAAAAGCAGTTTAAAATCCAAGTTTAAGGACCGTGTGATTGCACCTGTGTGATTTTTACTAACTTTTTGAGGCAGTTGTTTAACAAATGTGGTCATAAAGCAAATCCATTGTTCTCTATGGGGCAGTATTTGCCGGAAACCCAAAATAAACACTGGTTACCAGCAAAAACAAATTGCATTCACATGATTTCAGGGCACTGCAAGTGACAAAAATGCAGTCATGTGACCATGGAGAAGGGCAGAATTTTGAAAGCGAATTGTAAGTCCCAATTTTGTGGTTTGTCATCTCTTTGTACGGTTGCTAAGCTGCCAGTTGCAAGGACTATATTGTATATATTCCTTTTTTACCATTTTTCTTTTTTTCCTTTTCTGCACTTTCTATTTTTTCTTTTTATTCTATTTGTAATATTTTAAATTGTAATTTTTAATAAAATTACTATAAAAACAGTGGAATGTCAAAAATTAAACATGCATATGTAGTGAAAAGAAATGTTTTGCAATCACTAGCTGATTTTTTTTCCTGTTGTGATTCTGTAAGAGAACTATAACTTTCCAACCACAGGATGACTTATGTTCTGAAATATGGAATACAGTGCTCCCAAATAAGAAGGTGGTTCCTTATAACTGATATAGTATTGTTCCCAATAATTTCTCCAGTTTCCTGAAACTTTAGGAGGATGAGCAAAGAAAGTCAGATGCAAACCCCAAAAGGAAAAGAAAAAATGTGTTTAATTTTAGATTAGCTCTGCAATTTTTATATTGAGAATGTCTTTTGCTTTCAATTGTTACCTTATTTAACCTTTGGGTTTCATATGACTTGATGTCTCATTGGGCTTATCAGGGTGTGGATCTGGGGTTATATTATAGTGCTTTAGTCCAAACAGGAGAAATGTGTTCTGTCAGTTACATCTTTCACCATGGCAAGGAGGATATTAACCCAATATGTACCCTAACTTTTAGGTACCCTGAAGATGATGATGAAGATATATATATAGCGAAGGAAGAATTACTGATGAAATCACAGCTTGTTTGGCTGCTGTCATCCTCTAAATGACATTAGCAACTTGATCTTCTAGGACATGGTTTTTGATTCCATGTCATTGTTTTGTTATAAGTGCTAGCAGTTCATTAAAGTAAAAAGGAAGTGAAGAATCACTAGTCTGACCCGTTAGCCTTTTTCTCTCCTCATTTTTCTAACTATTCAGATTATTGGCTCAGGAGTGCTCTGCTATATGTGTTTGTCTTTTAAATCTCTCAGACCCCAAACCAAAAGCAGTTATATCATCAGTGGGCTTCTGAGATGTGAACAAACAAAACAAATATATATATATTTAAAATGACTACCCCTGAAGTATGGCCTTTGTCCATTGAAGTTCCCCACCTGTGTTTTAATATAGAGTGGCCCAGGGACACAGTTATCATGGGTAAG